AATTTTCTCTTGACAGTGTGACTGTATCTATAAAGCTTCCTAGTATGCTCCCTGGGGGATACAATGGCACAGCCTCCACTTCTTTATAGGCAGGGAAATGTGGTCTGGGAAGGGCCAGACACAGGCATGGGTGAACGGGGTGACTGCCCAGGGCCCCAACACAAAGGGGACCCGAAAATGGTAATTTTTTTCAGTTGTCCAATTATCATTATCATCTCTGGCAAAGGAGGCCTAGGGCCGCCAGGAGTCTAGGTACAGTGCTGGGTAGGGGGAGGAGAGTGAAGCCCCCATGTCAGGACCCAAGGGAAGAGTGGCAACTGCTGGGAAGGGGGTATCTAAAAATACTGCCTCTGTTTGTCAGCATTGGGAAACAACCAGACCAGCCTCTGGGCTCAGTCTGGCTCTGGGTAACCCCCCATTTCCATCCCCCAGAGAGGGGCTTCAGGGACCCTGTGTGGGGGATCACTCCATCCACTCTGGTACTGTGACACAGGAAATGAAGCAAGATGGACCTGTGGTCTCATCCAGTAAATGACCTTTCTTATATTCTGAGAGAGCCAACTGAGACCACCTGCCAGAAGGGGGGGCAGGAACTGCAAAAGACTTTCCCTTTATACTACAGATTCTAGTAATGACTGCTAATGCTACTGGCAAATTTCACCCTGGGGGCAAACCTAGACTGCATAGTAAAGTCAATGTAATGCTTTAACAGCCTATTAATGAGGCTGCCATACAGGATCCAGTCCCTGTCACACCCGTGTCATAGCATGTCATATTTGTAATTACTTTATTCCCAGGCAAGGACTGCTTTAACAATACACAACTATGCACCAGTGTGGGCACCATGTTAGGGATCTTCCTTCTTTTCAAACTTTTTCATGCCACGTTAATTGCAATAATCAACTTCAAGGCCCTAATTTTTAAGGCAGTTAAAAGACAGTGAAAGAGCTTTTTTTTTGGAGCGTTGGTGGTATAGTGGTGAGCATAGCTGCCTTCCAAGCAGTTGACCCGGGTTCGATTCCCGGCCAACGCAGCTCTCTTTTTGTACTATTTAGCTTCAATCTGTGTATTGAATCTGAATCCTTAATTTTAATCGTTGTATTGTTAATGTAATTAAATACTTATATTAGATGTCTATATTGTATACTACATTATATATTTATATTTTAGGAAACAAACGATAGTCCAATGATCCTCTGAGAAGGAAAAATTACAAAACTTTGTCAGAATGTAGGTGGTGGCTGAGTTGAAAGGATTTAGATATCTGTATGAAGAATAATGATGCCACAGCAGAGTGGCGCAGCGGAAGCGTGCTGGGCCCATAACCCAGAGGTCGATGGATCGAAACCATCCTCTGCTAGCTTTCTATTTCTAAAATAGCTTCCAGTTTGTCTTCTCCACACAGAATGCATCAGAACAAGGAATTTATACATTGGAGAGTTTATTGCTTTCATTATAAAATACAAACAATTTATGATTATCTATTATTTTATTCAGCACTGCCAGGAGCTTTACATCCCATGTTGGGGCTGCCCCTCCAATATCCAAGATTATTCCCCTGAGGCGGTTTAGCTGTGGATGAGAACCGGTGCTGGGATTGGGGGGGTTGAGGCGAATAAAAATGTCAAATGTTCCTCAGTTATGAGAGAAGGCATTGATAGAAATACAGAACTGAAGACTTTCTTAATCGAACTGATTACTTTCAACATGTCAAATTCTCAAATTGTAGGTGTGGGCCAATCAATTTCACCCCGATAGGCTTTTGTGGGGGGAGAGGGCGAGAAGGCTATAGGTATATGGCTGTAATCTTTGCATCCAGGAAACTGGGTTGGTGGCACCTTATAAACAACACCCTCAAAAAAAGGTTTCATATTAAAGAAGGAAATAATTCAGACGGGTTATATAAAAAGGACGTCTAAGCTGTTTCTCAAACAGAAAAAAGAAACAAATCTGTATAGGAGATGTCACTCTAAATGCCTTTGCTTATCCCCCAAATGGCCACAGGCGTTTGTTTCAGAGAAACCAAAGCCCAAAAGTCACCAAGTGTACTTCATTTGAAAGTGAAGGACTGGTTAGTGATTGGTGGGGAAGTCACGCTCTGCGCCTCATTGGTGACGACAGAGGAGCTTCGCAGCCGGAGGACTGCAGGGTTCCCGCCGGCTGCACTTTCAGTTCTCCCTTCCGTCAGACCCGATGGCATCTAGGTCATCACCAAGCCGGCCATCCACCACCGGGGGGGGCGTGAAGTGCATCTCGGGACTCATCTACGAGGAGACCCGCGGGGTGCTGAAGGTTTTCCTGGGGTACGACTGACGTGGACGTGGTCTATTCCTTGAGAGGCCAGGGCTGCACTCTGCACGGATGCGGTGGTTAAGCCTTTGGATGAAACCTAGAATAGCTGTTGAACCAGAAAGCTCTTGGGACCACCCATGATGCACAGAAAGACCTGGGCTTGCTCTATACCCAGATTCTAGTGTTGGTTGCATGGAGTATAAATATAGTGCCTAGCAGCTTCACCCCTCTCTTCTTACTTGCAGCAGTGCATCGCTTGCAGCTACAAGTTATTTTTATTGTGTGCTTCTGAGTTTCACAAACGTCTACGTGATAGCCAGCCTATTTGGTTTAAAGACTTTCAGAACTGCAAAACATGCTGAAAATTGGCTCTGTATCGAGAGGAAATTGGGAAAGGCGGATGGATATGCAAGCTTTAGAGACTTCGATATGCAGCAGCCACCGTATCTGAGCAGGATGGAATAATTTCTCCTTAGTAAATCTTTTTTGGGGGGGAAACTGTCTCAATATAAAATCTTGTCGCAGGGAAACGAGGTGCTGTTCTAGGTCTAGATATCGAAGTACTCCAACAGTTTCGTTGATTTTTTTTCCCCTCTTCATAATCCATCCCCTTGAAGCATTTTGGCGCCAAGCAGCACTAGGAGGCTGGACTCATTCATTTCCTGCATCCATCTTGCTAGTCTATGTGAATGATTGGAAACGGTTTTGAAGAGATTTTTTCTTTAATGAGAAACAATTAGAGAAAATAATACTTAGGAAAGCTATTTGATCTTTATCCTCTGCTGAAAGACGCCGAGTCATAGGAGCTGATATAGGAACCTGCGGTTAC